AGAGTATGAAAGATAAAGGTAATCGCCGTAAATTAATTTTTGCATTCTGACCATTAAGAGATACTTGTTGTGACTACAATTGCCAATCTTTCTTTGAAAACCTGCATAAAAATATGATTTGATGATAATGATATATTTTCAATTGGAATCATTTTGAAGGTCATAGGCCTTACCATTCTGAAGTGCTCCAACTCTTTCTCCAGTAAGACATTGATGTCTCCTGCTAATGGCTGCATATTATTAGGGGATAGAGACTCATATCTTGCTTCACTGAGTACCTGAAAATCACATCATATAAATTCAACACCAACAGCAAATCAATACACCTTAACTTATCTTTCCTTCAGAGCATTTTATAGATTTGCAGGAACAGATGAAAATTTTAATAATAGAATGACCATTTCTTTAATGCATGCAAGTTGAACTCAGAATGTTCCCCTCTGTTGCCAAGGGTTAAATATCCATAATAGGTATATCAATGCATTTAGAAGAGCTCACAAAATGCATATGATCCCACACAAAACCCCAAACGTAGAACAAAATAACAAAAGAAATGAGTGGAAGACAAAAAAAGAAGATAGAAACAAAACCCTGTCTAGCATATTGACTTGATTATTTGGCACTGCAAAATCATGAGCAGTCCTAAGTAGAAATTGCAAAGCTTAAAACAAAATCACAAAGTAAACAATAAGCCAACACAAATAGAATAGAGCAACTGCTCTGCCAAGCAACAAGAACCATCTTTAGGGTTCTAGAAACCCCCAACTCCATACTCTTTCACTTTTTTCTTTCTTCCTTTCTTTCTTTCTTTTCTTTTTTTTTTTTAAGGCATAATCTTCACTTATAAGCACTGTACTTTAAAAGTTTTTCTCTAAGTGTCCTTTTATCATTATTTTCAAGTTTCAAAAATCAGTAACGAAATTAATAATGCACTACGTTGCATGATGCACCGAAAATTGTAAATTACATGTTCTTTAGTTCAGGTTTTAAACCATCGTTTGTACGGGGAATGTATACAATTTGATATATGGAAAACAGGTGCTGCTTCCCTGCAATTCACGATGTTCATATGGTTTCTTCTGAATATTTACACAAAGACCAGATCATTCCATCGAGCTGTAGAA